TATATATATCCCTCATTCCATACCTGGAGACGAAATCTCTTGTTATGTTTAGAAAAAAAAATAGCTATAAAGGCAAGTTACTGTGAGGTGTGTGAGAGCTCAGCAGTTTCGATGTCTTCAACAGATTTGAGCATAATTATTTTTCATTTGCTTCAAGTGGTGGCATGAGACGACAGTTCTCATAGATGACCGCTTACAATATGCGGTTTGAATCGGGTCGATGAAGCGTGAAGTTCTAAGCAATGACATTGTCTATTCACTAATGGGGTTAGTTTTCGCTCTCCGAAACTTCTGAAGTTTAATTTGAAATCTTAGTTGGAATAGTACAGAATATATAGATGCATTTAGAAATGGGTCATTTCTGGGCTACGCTCCGCTGTCGGACGAAAATAAATAACATGTGGCAGCACAACCGGTAGGTGTATGGCCGATCAGAGGGTGTCAGAACGACGAGACAGTATGTAAGAAATTAAGTTAACACAGAAACGCTATTTGATTTTTAATCCGCCGAATTCGAGGGTCAGCTGCAAGCGGGTATTCTGTTAATCAATAGATTTTAACGAGTACCTATATCAAACATCGTTTATGAAAACGTTTCAGGTCACGTATTGCTAGGCGCGCTTGAGTATTCTCATTAAATTTTTTAGTGTTACGGTAGCTAGTCCTAAAAAAAACCACAAAATTCTTCCTGCCACAGAAAGGCTCTAGCCTTCTATTTGTGCATTATTACTGCTATCGTTCTATAGGTTCGTACCATTAATCGGCTATATGACTCCAAATGACCCGAATAATAGTGATTTATGTTATGATTCTCTTTTATATAAAGGTCAATAAGCCAACTTTTTTCAACAATTTTCGATCTGGGGAGTTAGATACACTCTAAAGAACTCGCTTCTGTGTTTTTCGGTATCATCTTTTAATATAAACTTAAGTGGAGGTAAGTTCGGTGAGTTACAAATAAAGAAAAATTCATCATATGAATAGATTGTTCTATAATCTACTCAACGGACAGCTCCAGCACAGACTGACCTAGCTATCGGTATTTGGACGGTGAACTTTCACTTTCAGCAGTTTTTATGATTTTTTTCTAGTTTTTATTGAAGTTTTCCTATCTCAAGCGACCAGTTTTCAGCAAATATGTCGCAGCCGAGATAAATCGGATGGCCAACATTTCCACTGAAAGCTATTTGTGTCACAAATGAATGTTAGGTACAATTTTAACTGATAGAATTTGACCATTTTTACTGCGCCGTTGTAGGTCTACCTGACGCTATTAGTTAAAACTCTAGCGAGACAAATTCTTACTTCCCACTTTCCCCAAATTCCACTTACATGCTTGTTGTTTCAAGTTCGTCTCATAACATTTACGATATTGTAATGCTTTTACATGCAGTTGATAACCAACTTCATATCACTTCAACTTAAAATACGTGTATCAATGAGTCACAAATATAATGTCTGTCATCCTCAAATTGTCCAAAAACAGCCGTGTCCTAATTTTGGCCTGTCAAAAAGCTGCCTTGTCCCGCTTAAGCTTTTACATTTATTTTACTACAATGCGGGAAGATATCTGAATCGGATTCTTGGATTCGATGATTGTAGCCAAATCATTGAGAAGCTAATCAAAGTTTCGAGTATTTGCTGAACAATTTCGCAAAGATGGAAATTTAGTAACACCACGCGTCAGCTTGACGCGTTCTTATGAAAAAACGCTAAAATGCTCTCCTAATATACATTTAAATCTAGGGAAGAGTTTAGGTACAAGTTTAAATTGAGCGTGCGATATATCGGGTCCTTTTTGAATAGGTTCGAGGTTGAGAAAGTTACCTTTTGACCCACTTCTTTTGTTGGCAATTGAACTTCTAATATAGAAATTTTCGTGTTGGGTGCAGACAGGAAATCACTAACATAAACAATACGGCAATAGACGTTCTGGCGGACAATGGTCTAGCTTAATTACATTTTTTTCAGTTTCGAAAGCTAAGTTAAATTTATACTATTATAGAGCTAATCCTTTGATGCGATGTTTTGTTCGATCTAGCAACCCTGCAAGTGTTTATGTGTTCCATTTATTTTACTAGATAGTTTTTAATAAGGCGAGTTTAATAAAGATAAATTCTATTCTTAGTACATAGCATTTTCTATTGCAGCTGAAATAATAAGCTGATCCTAATAAGCTGATTGCGATCTGCATAGTATGTCATTTAAGTTAAACGGACATTGAATAAATTCAACTAAGGCAGCAAAAAACTTCAAAACTTAGAGAAACAGGTTAGATAAGTGCTCACCGTCAGCGGGAAACAGTAGAGCGACCACTGAGAAGACTGAAAGCAGGTATGACCAGAAATAGACTGGGCGCCGACGGAAGTTGTTTACAACCCAACAGGAAAGCGTTGCGATAGGTAACTCCAGTAATCCCATGTAAAATACACCTGTATATGGATCGCTTCCGGTGTCGACTATGAAGTATAGCATGTGATAGTATAATAGGATGATCACTGCACTGGAAAAAGCAATTCCATGAAATAGTGTCGCAGCAGAGGACAGAAAGCTGAATTAGCCACGTTATTCAAATATCATTGATTGACCGTATACAGAAAAGGCGAAACGAGACGAAGGGAAGCAGCCAAAGTTGACTCGGACTTGAATTAAACGTGGAAATAGGCACATTAATAGTGAATTGTATGCTAAAGGACACCTCCCAGTTTCAGTCGACTTTGCGATTTTGTCAGTTGTTGGACAGAAGAGGCCTGAATATATCGTCTTATTGGGCGGCGCCCATACACCGCATTCAACATCACTTTATTTGGCGCCGGTCGTAGCTTTGACAGGAAACGTGTGTTTTTTTAGCTGCAGATTATTGTCGTACATGATCTACTTTTCATCACCCGTGATCAAAAGCTTTATACAACAGCTCGATTTCATTACACTTCTGCAGAGTTTTGCAGACAGAAACACGTAGCGCTTTTTTTTTTTTTTTGTAACACTCTTCTACAATGGATATTTGGTCCCTTGGCGGTACCGTGGTTACTTACGTGTGGGTTTTGCTCAATTTTCACAATAATTTCACCAACCCTTCCGGTAATTGGTTGACCAGTACGAGGTGCATGTTTTACATGGAAATGTACAGAACAAAAGAGACAGTTCCATCTTTGGACCATTTCTCCTAATAACACATCTCGCCTATAAACAGCACACATTTTTTATGGGCCTGGGCAGTAAAATAGTACTATATAGCGAGGTGAAGATCTATCAATGAAGTAAAGGTACACGTTGTGGATGTATGTGTGGAGAGACTGATAACAGCAAGAAGCTGGGCACCATTCTATGCCTGCGTATCGCGAGTAAACTACAGTAATACATAAAAGCTCAAGGTAACCGTCTTAAGCGCTTTTGCGATCAGGTAGCCTTGTGCAACTGTCGTAGTCAAATAATTGCCATAGAAAAAGCTATTCTTCCCTTTGCTAGACAACTAGACAAACGTTTTTAACGTTTAACTGGTATTGAAGATAAGGCATTTACTAAACCGTCCAGTGACACGGCTGTTCATCAGAAGAATGTATGAAAAATCGAATCATTACACGCGACTGATTCACAGATTTTTTCTCTTTTCACTTCGGTAAAAGGTACATAATTTAATTACTATCGTTACTCTTACCAAGCGATAACATTGTTGTGACCTGTGAAGTTATTTTGAAGTGAATTTCTAATGAATTTGTAATGGAACCTCGAAAAAAAATTCATTCAAGATTAGAGGACGCTATTAGTCAGATTTATACAAAGAAAAAAAAAACGCGATCGCAAAGAGAAATCTCTAAGTGGGTCGAAACATTGAAGTATATAGTTGGCAACTTAGCCCAGAAAGTGAGGCATGCGGGGCCTCTGTTATTAAGAAAGACTCTAAACAGTAGTAACGCGGCAAGAAAGCAGGATAACTTTATCCGCATCTACGAAACGGCCGATTTGTAATGGTTTCAAAATTACGTCAGAGAGTGGTACTATTCAGAGTCACTCGGTCCATACAGATTTTCTGACGTCGTATCGATACGAGTGATATTAGCTGTCGTATTTCAAATGGCCTGAATAATTCCAAAGTTAGACATTTCACAATTGGGAAGGGATCTATTTATCAAACTAGTCGCATTTTCAGATTTTGGGTAGTAATGCTCAACATGTCTATAGGCGTTTCAGCAAAAGATTCTATATATCCTGTGCAATACAACAGACTAAACATCCAAGCAAAATTATGGTGTAGGTCCTGATCTCCACTCGCGATGCAGGGGCTCTACATATCGCTGACGAGAAACAGTGACAACGCGGTGAAGGAACTGAGACGAAAACGCTATCCCAGGTTCGCATGTTGTCACGCGTGGCAGGTCATTTTGTTATACGGCTAAGTGATTCTGATGATGCTGAGATTCTGCCATAACCTGGAAATGCATCCGACCTGAATACGATCCATAGTGTGTAGCATGGTGTCAAAAAACGGGTCAGGACCAGACAAGAGGCCAGAAACAACACAACTCAAAAATAGAGTACTCCATGTATAGGTGTAGGACCTGTGCGTGACGAATACGGTATGAAAATACATTTGGAGTATAGCTGCAACGATGATTGTGGCCTAGGGCAGGGGACCAAATGCTAGCCCTAATAGGTGCTTTCCCTTCGACAGCTACTCAGCAATACTTGTCCAGCGACAGTGTCATCATACACGATATTATTAAAAAGCAAAAATAGCAGCTCGTTAGTGAAATCTGTAGATGACCTTATTTCATTGATCAAAGACTGTAACTGTTGATAACTGTCAGTACCGCCTTTGTTTTTAACTGTAAGCCTTTTTTTTACAATCTGACTGAATATTGCGTCTCTTCTTAGGTATAGCCTCGATTATGTCTGCATCGAACTGCCGTTCTCAGGAACGTCATACTATTGAGTTTCTATTCACTAAGCTACTATTATTGAAATAGAATTGTTAAAACCTTGGTTTAAGCAAGCTAACATGATCGAATATTTCAAAATGGCTAGTCGGATAGGGATGCGTTCGACAAACAATTTGTGGATCACTAAGATCAATACAGCTTTCCATATAAAAGTAAGCACTTTATGGTAGACGCTTATAGTACCATACAATGGTGAAAAGTCAACACTACGAAGGGTTGATCGTCGACGTTCGTTGAGTTATGATCTTTCGACAGCAACGCACGGAACCTATAGTATATATACGATAGTACTATATAATATAAAGTAGACGAGAATATAGGCATTCTTATGTTTCAAACATTGAAAGTTATCAACGCATCCGTAACGTTCAAAAGAAGATCTTCAGATCACCTGAACGTCACAAGTACATTTATTGGCACAATCTGTTTCACTAGGCACACAAGATGGTATCTAAAGCTTCAATTAATTTAAGCGGATCGTATAATTTTGACCATTTTTTTCGGGTAACGCGCGTTTCGGTATTAGCGAGTGCGGTTCTTTCTGAACGGGTATGATAAAATCGTACTGGCGTTCAACTTCGTATCAGCTCAGAACATACCCAACTATATGGTACACTGATGGTATTCAGATAGCTTTTAACACTGAAATATGCGCTCAACCGAAAACCGTAGCTGGAAGGAAAATATCAGCTAGAAATAATCAAATGCGGACTGGTTGAATGTTCGACAAGAAGTAGATAAATATAATTATCTAGTGCTCGTATTTATATTTAAAAAGATATTTTTACATTAATTATTCTATAGAATAAAGAAGGCTCTGTTTGAAGTTGACGTATTCTATATATCTGTGAAATTCTAAATTGTATACATTATAGTTAAACATTTTTGAGCTGAAACACCTACTATTGTCCCCAGCATGAGATCGTGAGCCTAAGGACGGTCCATTCGTTTAGCAGGTCGATTAATGTACTTTTCTGTGACCGGTTTTCCTAGAATATGATAAAATATATTTTCACTACATGGTTATAAATGAAGACTTCAGCAAATAAATGTAACATAAATAGAAGCAATTTAACGATCTATTACCATAGGTTTTTACTCGGTACTCAGTTTTTAGAACGCAGGCAGTAAGCTTTTCTTAACTTTGGTCCGAGTACGTATCCCATGAAAAATAATTTGTTTCAAAAGCATTATTTTGTGTACAAACAAAAAACACCAAATGTTGGCTAGCTTCGAGTTAAATCTTACAGTACACAATTAAAAAATAAGTACTCTCTTAGTTTTATATATATATATATACATATATCGTATTAGTACGTGTGCTATATCTAAAATAGTGAATTGTTACTGTGTGAAATCATTATCGTGCGGGTATTGACATTACTATTTTTCTTCAGAGTGTGTCTCTATCTCGTTATTATGTCAAGGAACTTTAATATATGATTTTATAGGAACCGAATTACAAGAGCTTTTCGCTTGAATGAACGGCATTCAAGACCACAACACCTCGGAAAGTCCTCGAGGTAGTCCTGTACTACTTGTACTATACACTGACTCAATTCAAAGCATGAGAACTTTTTACCTTGTTGAGGCTTACCTTCATAAGAGCAACAGTGGTATCTCTGACAATTTGGTCGATATCTATTTCTTCTTCGTACAACTTATTTACTCGAATGATTTTCTTGAGAAGTCTTCGCGCTTTGGCCTCGTGCCCAGCACTCAACAGCCACTTAGGTGACTCATCTACGAAACTGAAAAAAAATGTTTCGTTGTATTGTCACAAGATTTTTTTTGCCAAATTACAATTGATCTATCTGTCCATGAAAATCGACTTACCATAACAATAAGACAAATGCCAATTCTGGCATAATAATGGCTCTCTGAATCCAGACCCAGTCACGTACGTAGTACGTAATTAGTGGTGTTAACAGCAACCCCAAACACCAACCAACATCCTGACCGACGGTTACTATAGCACGATGGTGTGCACTAACCGACTCCGTCGCTATAAACAACGATTACAGTAACGACAATGTACAAAGAAATTTAGAAAAAGCTTACTTGTCGAGTAATAACGTATTAATGAGTATAGTCCAGCTAGTTAAGTTGTTTGACTCATATTACTATTATGGAGTTTGTTTATGACACCGTATCCAGGGGATATCTGTGACATATATCGATATTTTCCTCTTTTAGTCAACAAAAAATCGCCTCATTCGCGTTCCGCTGGCACTTTCTTTTAGTTTATCGCATCCTGACAGTTCGAGTAGACAAAACTATGAGAAACAGCATATGTATTATAGGTTTTACTTTCGTTTGATGATCTGGATAATTTGTCAGACCGCGGCACCTCTGTTTTAATAAATGGGCTTTGCATTAGAAGTAATAGCTCATGTTCATCCAACCACGTTTAATATATCATGATATAATACGATGCTCACTGTTCTTTGCGACGCTGAAACTATTATTGTTCTGGATGACCGTCAAATAGCGATACTTGAAACAGGACTTGGGAAATTTTATACTGCGTTCCATTAATTAATAGTAGTAGTTCAGTGGCCACGTATTTTTCAACTACGTATTAATTCAATAAATCATAGAACAAAAGCGTGGAAACAGACACAACGAGCCCTTTGTCTATTCCGTCCTAGATGCTAATCCTAGACGAAAATCTTAAATAGCTCTGTTAGTGATATATAGAAACCAAAGAAAATTAAGAACCATTGTTTCACCTATTTTCTAATTTATTTATAGTCTGCAGAAAAAAAAACATGTATGTCAAGTGATTGCTATGAGTCAAACTAAGACCAGATCGGTCCCAGTTTCTCGTGTAGTGGATTCTCTAGGCTTTGACGACCATTAATAACAGAGTACAATTATATAATAATAATAACTCATTTTAAAACGCAAACAAATATCATATTATTCGTAGGGGGAATTGTCTGACATGCTAGGTTAAAATAGTGGTCTGATTATCAGATTGTTGTGAAGATTTTTGGATTGAATCCTTAATATCAACTACAGCCATTATTACAGTGCAGTTATTCTTTTAATGTCAGTTTATTTATCACTTTATTTAGCGTTTTAAATGAAAATGCTCTAAACAATCTTATAAATGAAAGCTATAAGCTAAATTATGGCAAAGCAGATAAAACGACATATCCTATGGTGTCTATTACTCTAGAAATTAATTAAGTCATTTTTTAGATTTATCAAAACTGATAGTTTATGGATCTTCTACAATTATTTTGTTAACTACATTTCTTAACTCATAAGTACTATGGGAAAAACCTAGTTGTCATATTAGCATATCGGTGGAACAGCGTAGCGAATTACAAAGAAAAGATATTCCTCAAAGCTTCTTTTTGTTATTTTTACCTTTTGGGCTCCTTAAGTTTCGAAACACTGCCTTAGTCTTAGATTGGGCGGGTTTTTCGAAAAAGACTACGTACATAGGCACTCGGTTTGTTCAAGTGAGAATACGAAATAATATTACAGTTGTATCATATGATTCTCACAACTTACTTTTTATGAGATGGGTAGAGTAGTACTTTAGGGAACTGAATATTAATATATACTGGTCTTCCTTACGCAGCCGTAAGCGCTGAAGCTGCTAGTCTTTAAAGGTGCCTGCCACAGCAGCTGGAGAGGCTCGACCAGAGAGCGGGCAAGTCAACTCACTTGGATTTGTTTCGAATCGTAGCGGTATCGTTTGGCTGGACACGCGAACGTTCAGTATCACGATTATGCGAGTGGGTACCATTAGAGTAAGCGATGTGACAACAATGTGTCATTACATTGAGTCTCCACTGAAGCACCATTAACATTATACTGTTCATGTGCAGAACCCCGCCTGTGCTCCTCAGCTACTCAGCGACTAATTGTAAGTTCAATCACACGACTATGAGCGTACAATACGTATGTGTCGTTCATTAAAGTTATAAAAGAGTTGTTGCTTTCGCTGTAACATTGTTCGCCTATCGCGCTCTTAGAAGACGCTGGGAAATTTTACAAATATGCTTAATTTATTGTATTTAATCACGTGTGACACTTAGTATTCTGTAAATACTAATTTTGGCCGCTAGCTTGGTATGAATTGATTGCTAGTAAAGCCAATCGATGGTCGTCCAGTCGGGAGACCAGTTCGGGCAAAAGCACAGATGGTGTGCATTTAGCTTTTTGTGCCGTTTATATTGCTGCTGTTATGGCACCGATCTACATGCGTCAGTTCCGCTAACGCCGGGATCGAGCTATGCTGGAGAACATTACCTAATTCCGCGTACATATATTGGCGGAAAAGCCTTGCAACACCCCCAATCGACCCTTGCTGGGTGCGTGTCGGATATAGACTAATCGCTAATTTTGTAAAGCAACACGAGTCCACTATAAGTTACTCTGAATATGCTACGATGTAAATACGATTGTTTCTTCCGCTCATTTTGCTTCGAGATCGTTCTTCCCATCAGTCAAGCTAGTACCGTTATCCGTTTACACGTAACTTTGCTGGCAGAGGTAATAAAGCGCAATACTGGCGTGCAAAAACAGATCAGTGTAGCCAGCTTTGGGAATAACCCAAAATATGTATCGATCCGAAACAAGCCGTGCTTTGCGTGTCTGATCATCGTTCTGAAAATTTTCGGCAGAACGTAGTCGCTGTTGATGAAAGTCTCAGTCAACTAATTTATGGGGCTGCAGACTCATTAATCTTCGCAAAGAACTCTGCTTGAACCGCAAATATCTTTAAAATGTACGCTTTTCAGCCCGTTTGTGCGATGGACACATAAAAGTATACGAACACAAAATTCTCTGAATTTAGAAAATTACCTATACTGCAAAAAAGTACTTGTCATATGATGATTATTAGTGGTTACTATGCAAATATATTTGCTAATTTCCATCAACACACCTCTTGCAAATTCTCTCGATGCCCCCAATAGTCTGACAACTTGTTTCTGGAAAATTTACTGAAAGTTACAAAGAGTAGCGTCTCCATGAAAAAATACGTAAGTGCATTGTTGCTGCCGTCGAAGCTACTGCCAATAATTAATTCGACTCAGCCTTATGAAGTTCAACATCAGTGGTAGGTCTAATATAAAATTAATTATATAGAAGAACATTTTCTTCGGTCACGATCAAAGTGGACATGGACCCATTTGCACAAAAGCCCTTCATGGGTATGGTAATAAATAGTATCGACAATCCATATATTAACAACAGCTTATATTAGTTGAACTCGTGCAGTGACCATAACATCTTTCATTTTTACAGACGGGAAAATGGCGTTGTTCTAAACGTAAATTTACAAGTTCGCGATATATGTACAACGATGCGTTTATCTAAATGGTAGGAATCATAATAATCCTATGAGCTACGAACACATCTTACTATGAATAGCCAACTTATCTTTATCTGGGAAAACGGTGAATTATACCAATGCTAATTCGTTCGTCAAAACGGAAAGTTCCTTCCTAGAATTTTTTTTACCTACGGCTGAGGCTAAATTTTGAAATTTTAAGCGATTTTATAAGTTTATTCACGCTTCTTTGAAATGAAAATGGCAGCATTGGCTTCAGTAGCGGTCATTCTTAAGAGACACAAAAATACTGAAATGAAGCTTACGTGCTGCATAATAATTCTTGTGAGTCCGATGCTTGTTTTGGCTTGCGTAACTTCGGTAGGGAACAAGAAGAATCCCCTACGAGTGAGCAATGACTACCTGTGTTAATGAATGCAGTGAAGAAGGGCACTAGCTTATTCTTCTAACAAAAACGTATGCCTCCAGCATGCTGAAAGGTGCGTATGTACAAATGGTCGAACCTTATGCGCACTGACCTTAGGGGCAACATAACAGTGTTGGAGATATTTGACTCAGTAGCTGATTTTCCTAGAAACTAACTTGATACATTTAGGATTACAGTCATTTGCTAATTTTATATTCACAGAGGCGGGTTCATCCAAAACGAATTTGATAAATTATAAGTAAAATAATGATTTTTAATCCTGAAAAGGCACTGCTGTAGTTAATGCAAATCTTGCTTACATGAGGCAGCTTAAATTAATATTGACGAATGAGATATCCTGCTTTACGAACGAAGATAGTTTAGATCTGCTTCGCTAATAATTGAGAAAAGTCGCACCGTTTCCGTGCACGGTAGCAGCCAGAGAAACTAAAATGTTTTTGTAATTACATCGATTTATAGGCATACACTGCTTTCAAACAAAAGTGAGTAAGGTGTATAACGACGCCTACGCGCTGACTTGTTGGACACTTCTTAATAGTGACAATCGATGACTCCTCAAAATTGAATGCTTTTAGGTTAATTTACACAGATGCTACTAATGATCTTATATGAAGTGCTGTCAAATCATGTTGAAGCATCGCAAACAATATTTCTAACTTACAGTTAGATAATACCTTGTGTTACGCACGCAGTGCGCTGACCCAAGACGAAAGGAGGGGACCCCATCTAAGTCACAGTTAAAATCGCACGTTTTTACGGATCAAGTTTTGAACCCACCTTCTGTCAACAACGCGTCCTTCAGGACACGTGTGAGTCGGAACACTAGTGAAAATTAAAGTTGTTGGTCCGTTTCGTGGACGCCTATTCTGAACTTTGGGCCCGGGGTCGATTTGTAAGTTATATCTTGCAGGGTCTATCTGGTTTAGTCCAACGAAACATACTCCTATGAGTTGTCTGCAATGGCATTAGGCCTACATACGAGATGAAAATTTGGACCAACCTTCAGGCGTGCTTCGCACTGCTTTAACACTAATCAGTCATCAACTAAGCTGCAATATGGTACTGTAGCTCGTTCAAATAGGACTACCCTTTTTGGAGACTCTCCGTTTCGATAGCGAGTATGTTAAAAGGTAACTTGTGTATATATTAAAAATAGCTCAATCGAATGTATAATATTGTTCTCAAGCGCTCTTCTGACAATAACATCTAAAACATTATAGAAGTGAACTAATAGTCGAGTTTGCTCGGTTGACGCCGTGGACGACGTTGTTTAAGTTCGTTCCCCTTATCAGAAATGTCCACAGACGCCCAGCTACCATCAAGCTACAAGAAAAAAGCTTCTACTGTAGAAGTATGGAACTGGATTCGTCAGTTGACGTATTATCGTTCCTTGTTGGCTTTTAGGTAAAACGCTCTAATAATGGCTTCAACGACATTGGTCCTCGAACAATTTTAGCCACTCCTTTAGCAAAACGCTTACTGAAAAGCTTTGATATAAGTAAAAATTAACCGCAGAGCTCGAGTCATGTGGGGCAGCCTTTACATTGATGTCTAATACTGTATAACCGGAACGTACGTTTTAGAGGTTATTGCTTTAATATCGATGCAGCTCGTTCCTACGAACAGATTACCGATTTATAGATAAAAGACGTAATTTAAAGTTTTGATAGACCGATGGACATGGCGCATTTTGCGCGTTCTAATAATAGAGTGTATATGACGATTCCAACGTCAATGTTACACTTTCGATTTGTGCGTGCCCCGAGGAATAATTTTGAACGAAAAGGAGAAAAACGAAAATGATTTTTTGCTTAGCATCGTACGTAAGTATCTTGCACCCAATTTACCCAACGCCTTCATAACGAATTATTGTGATTATGTTCGTCTAAGATTTTAAGATTCGTCTAAAATAAACCAATTCAAAAGCTATCGAATGAATAGTCGCTGACATCGACCACTTACACTCATATCACAGAAAAAAAAAGAGGTAGTTAGTAGTCTAAAGCAATTGATGCCTTTATTACACAGGCAAAATGTCATACTGTACCAGTCAGGACAGGGATAGGCTCTAATTCTAATAAGGCGCACTCCTATAAAGTAAATTAAAAAACAATTATATAAGCCAATAGAGTTACATACATTTAAATAAATCTCAGAAAGGCCCATAATCATTGCCCTCTAACACCTCCAAAGAATTGCATTAGAGTTTGTTAATTTAGTACAGCCATTTATACAGTACGTTCCCAATCAAATCATATAAGATATGTAGTTTAGATAGTGTTACCGAAATATTGTTCCTAAGGTAACTTAGGCTGCTGCCTGAGAAAGCCAGCGATCATTGACTTTTGACCCTAATATGCAACACTGATGGCATGGTAACTTGAGCAAAAATATCAAATATTCCAATAGGTTTTTTGAAAGTTTGAATTGATCCACTCTTTGAAATACCAATCTACATAATGAACGGGCATGGAACTAAATGGGAAACATGGCTACCGGCGACACTTTTGATCAATTAATAATTATCTTCCATTTTTAGGCCTTTTCCAATCGATTCAGTGCCCACTTTGAAACATTTCAAGCAGGGATCTGCTTAACGAATCAACATGATATTATATATATATATATATATATATATATATATATATATAAGAATTAGCGGGTCGAATGATTTCAAGCATTATAAAATCAAGTGTTTTTCACTCCTTGTGGAAAATGTACTGGGCTATATCAGCCTTGCTAGGTGGCTGTGATGCAGCCCCTGTTTTAGACAGCCGTTCGAAGTTCACGGTGTATTTTGTCTGGAGGCTGACCATTATATCAAATGATGGGGCATCAGTCACAGAGGGGGCAACAATCTAAACCTACCCAGAGGACATTATTTCTATTTGCTTGCCTTCTTGACAACAAGATAAGATGATAAACTGAATAAGCAATCTCGTCAAAGGTCGCGGCCTGATAAATGACCTTGCAAAAATGTAAATTTTTTATTTTAAAAAACCCATGAAGGTGCATGAAGATACATTTCTGTGTATTTCTCCTTTAAGTTTCCAATGCACCTACTAAACTAATTCGACTTATTTTTGCTTTGTTTTGATACACACATAACTCTCCACTTGTTTTTGCATTAGCGTATTTGCATACGATATAGTTGTAAAAAGACATGTACCTAGTACAACAACACGTTCCAAGAAAGGGTTAACCATAAAGATCTAACCATAGAACCATAAATTGCTAGCTTCTTGTTCGCAAAACTTGGTTACGGCAGTGTCCATCCCCACGTAGACCTTGACCCGTTTCCTTAAGTGCAAATATCGCCCATCAGGTTATCACAGTACATAGTAAAGCACACAGCGAAAAGAGTACAATTTCGAGTTATTAATTGCACGTTGAAGTATACGCTGTCGTGAAAGTTTCGTAATAATTGTACACTTATCATGTGGGCTACCTTACCTTTATTTATTGCGTCTTTAAGCATGTCTGTGTTTACGCAATGTAGGCCAACGGTTGGTCCTAATACATAAAAGCAGCGACAGTTAGATCGAGTCAGGTCAGTGAAAAGCTTGTTGGGGTCATCGCTTAATATCGGGACCCTCGATTACAAGATGTCATTGCCGCAGGTCGATATGGCTTTGTATTTTCATCGAACATTTAGTCATATTGTGTACGTTATGCCACTTGCTTAAGAGGATAGTACTACTGATAACAAAAATCGAATACTATTTAACAGTATACCTGTAACAGTAGTACCTGTAACAGGAGTTTATTTTGACATTTGTGACTCATGCTTGGCATTAAACCGCAAGTTTCAGTGTCTTAGGGTCTACCTACGTAAGCTGCGTAGGACCTCCCTTGTGTCGTTTATTAATATTGGGTATTTACCAATAAAGTAGAAAAGGAACAATGGGTGGTGCGTCTTCACCTGGTGCATCTGGTGGAAGTTCTTCAAACGTAGTCTCTTGATAACAAGTAGAAATGTGCATTTCAACCAAAGGGCATTTTAAGGCCAAACATTTTCTTACCATAAAAAAAAAGTAAAAGTCATAGGATTCAGCAGAAGTAAGTTGATTGTTTATTCTTTGCTCTCATAGGTAATGTAGGCGTCCCTGAATATAACCTATTGGTGAAATAAATAAAGAGGTTAAGCTTCTTATCAAGATATTTATGTTCATTATATTTCATTTATTTCATGGAAGCAGAAAACAATAAATATTTGTCGTAATTGATTTCATTTCGGTCAAAACGAATGCATACATAGGTCCCGATACACCTTTATAATAGTAAAAAATAATAGGTAATAACAATAATGCATCTTCAGCGCCTTCAGATCGCTTTTTTATTCGATGTTTTGTCATCTTTCACAGTTCGGTCTACGCACGCAGAGCTCGGTGATCGGTTCATCGTCGATATCAATCGTAACCGTAACTTCCTGTTGGGTTAATGTCACTAGAAGAATGGTCGTGTATCTCAGTCTGCCAACTTTTAATAGTATTGTTATGTTGAGATAAAATTGGAACAATGTAATAGGGTTTGGTCTTGTGATCTGAGTTATTTTTTTTGAAAAGGCAGATTCTAAATTTTTCTAGCCTTTTAGTTAGTTCAGTGTAGAATTGTAAGTTGCTCATCTGCGCAATACTGGGTCTACTTCAATTTATGCCCACATTTGTTAAAATAGGATTCGATTCGGTCGACTGCCAGACTGCGGCTAGATACCCTTCCAAAGAAAAATTGCACTAAGCTCTGCATTCACTAGCGACTTTATCGTCTTAAACGGTTAAAGCTTTGACTTTTATAGTTTCTAGGCTTTTTTTTTGTTCCGATTTCTCGGACTTTCGGCCTTCTATCGACCCAAATAAGTTCAATAGGAGAAGAAAGTGTGTCGATTCTTTAGACCATATTCGGATGAGATTGAAGCCAGCCTTGTTATAAAGCCTTCCCCGAATTTATAAAAGGCCAATTTATGGGAACGGCTTGTGCGATCAACTTATTTATTGGGACACGAACAACGTCATTAGTAATGATCATTTTTGTGAACGTACGCTTGTTTGGCATAATGAAAATTTTATGAATTTGCTACACTGGTCTAAATAAAATGATGATCGGACTAGAGCTCAAAAAATGGCCTGACTAGATCAACGCTTTCAGCAATCCGGCGCTATTTCCCATGGGTTTTCTAATCAGAGCCACTCATCCAGGTGACAGAGCTCTGGCGTGTACTTCGCGTCATGCAAGACACCCTCTTGAAACGTATTTCGGTCGAACAGTTTGTGCTACGTTTATATAAATCATTTCGCGACACAAGGTACGCGACCACTGTTATTAAACCTTTCCTTATAGAGCGCATCGTTGCTCTTTGCTTACGAAATGTTTGCCAGACAATGAACATCAGTAAATAGGTTCAAGACCAGATCAGAATTTCATCCCGAGAATTCAGTCACACGTACCGATAAACAGCCGAAGTACGGTGTTCAAATGTCTTTTCCTGCTTCAATTTTCGGCTTGCTCTAGCCCTAGCCGGTATTCAAGATTTGGTAAATTCAATTTTGTATTTCAAGATATTTTTAACGTTGAACCAATCTGCATTTGGCTAAGAATAGTTAGCCTTCGAAATTAATTGTCAAAAAAAAAAACGAGCGAGTTGATGGCTGATCAAGTTATAGTTTTTTTTTCCCAGTATATCTTTGTGGACATTAGATCTATCTTTATATCGCTCTATAAACACTGCTTCGGAAACAGAGAGCACCCTTCTCGAAGAGTGGCAGTCGATCCTTGGAATTATTTACGATAGGCAGTATGTTTGTCCGGCTGAGGAATTCATTAGCCTTACTTTGAACAACTAACTCATTATAGAAGCAATGATGAATATAAGTTTTGTACTTTTTTTGCTTGAAGGTCTAAGCGAAATACATTTCCTTCCGCATGAATATTCATTTTAAAAGGATCCGAGTGGCTTAACATGGAATTACAATAAATGTAAGACTTTTTACTACCTTTTTGACTGCATACGCGGGTCAGAGATGAACTAGCCCTGACCTGTTATTAGACCTGACCAAAAAGCTTATGTCATCTGTTTCTGCGAACCATTTCCGGAGCGCCATTTGTGGCTGTTCAACTTCCAGATCGCATACGGATAACCTGTTAGATAGAAGCTGGTCTATTTCTCATGCAATGAAAAGCGCACTAGTGGATGTATGCGCTTCAGCACGCGCCAAACGGGAATGATCCGATACAGGGTGAGGTCAATACTGAACTGTACTTACTGAGGACACTGGATGCTCTTTTACCGCCATGACCGAACGCCATCAAGAAGCGAAGGACGCAGAATAACCAATAGTTGTTGGTAAACGAAATCCCGAAACCGATAATAATACAGATTCCCAGTGACAACGATAAGGCTGTCTTTCTTCCGTACCAATCAGAGATGTGTGAGAACACGAAACACCCGACGAGAACGCCAAACATAAGGCAGCTCTGAGCCGTAGCCAGCATCCAGTCGTGATCACAGACGGCATCCCACTTCAGAAACAGAACAAGTTCAGAAAAACATTGCATAAGGAAAAATTAGCTAAAATAGTTAGCTAATTTCAATTCATTTAACCGTTCGATAACATTGCATAAGGAAAAATTAGCTAAAATAGTTAGCTAATTTCAATTCATTTAACCGTTCGATAATATTTCATCTTTGCATATATTAACATTTATCCAGTTATTACTTTTGCAGTATTAAATAGCTCTGTAAAGCATTGGTTTAATTAGGCAACAATGTTAAATAGGTTCATACTTCAGACTGTCAATAACAACGTCGGCCTTTTACCTGAATTTTACAAGTAATGCAAATCAATGCACCTAGTATGTACAGTTAACGTAATATGCCAAATACGAATAAACGTAGATCTCGCAATTCGATTGACTACTGTGTCACTTTTGTTAACCGTAAAAATAAGCGGATCTTGAATACAGGCGTGTACGTTTTACCAAAACCAGTATGAGGTGCTCTTCTGTACGACCTGTTGCTCTGGGTCCTTTAAACATGGCAACTAGTTTGTTATTGTTTGCATATGGACATCTAGGTAACTAACTGCTCGGTCAGCTATTTCTAGTGACAACGCAATCATACATTGAGGAAGAAGCAGCGAATCCTTATATTTATGTTTCACATTAAAATTTACACAATCAGTCGCTTAGCAGAATCATCGGGGTAGTATCAATCAAGAAGTAAGCATCCATGCTTACTTCAAGGTTGGCTTGTAACAATACATCGTTAACACAACCTAAACCTAAAGTATCAGTCTGAAAGGGTGGATATTTCCTAAAACAATGCAATCAGAGAATTTTAAATCAGGAGATGTAAATAGCGACACAATTGAAAATTTTCGCCTTCCAAGGACTTGGACAATCGATTCACTTGGCCTTACTCATAAACCGAACTGATATCTTCGAAGTCTGGACTCACATTTATAATTACGCTATACAGTTGCTCTCCAAATACACCTGATCAATTATAGGCTGTTAGCCGAAGTTAAAAGAAAAGTTTCATCTCCCGTTTTATTTACAGCTCTCTAATACGGAAGGCCGTCCCCCATGTTCGTCCTTTACGCAGTCACTGACTATAATTCGCTGTGCTCTTTGGCAGGTCCATCCGTTTGAATCAGGACTACTCCAGGGTCTCATTGGAAACAATTAAGGCCAATCTGTATCTTCGAGAACCATAATTGATTTTGTTACTAATATTATATGCATTGCCATGGTTGGTCGTATTTGATAGAGAATTTGTCCCTTTGGCTCTATTGATGCGCATGAACGCCACGGATTCAACAATCATAAAACTAATTTGCTTATTATTATTGTTAGTATTACAGCCTATTGCGATCATTGTTGCACGTTTGGCATCGAGTTCGACAATGTCGCTCCTACAAGCGTCCTCGAAGGTTCGTTAAACTCACTTGTTTCAGGCTATCGTAAATGTTCATATTAACATAAACAATTAAAGTTCATTGCGTATGTTGAGTGCACTGAGAAGTGTCTATCGATAAGGTGAAACGAGGGCGGAGGGCAATGAAAGGCCAAGCTCCAGTGTTTTCGTCATTACCGAAATGACTCTTCATATAATATATAAATCTGTCTATCGCAAACAGGCATATACACAGAAGAAACTATTATAAGTCTATCCGTATGCACCAACAAATCATTCTTTTTACCCAACTCTCTCCTGTCATTATTTGTCTGCAAACAATTTACTATTGCCAGTAAAAATACTACGTCCGGCAGTGTGCTTCGGACACCACTAGTGCTACATCTAAGCATTTGTCAACAATGAAACGTACAACCAATATTATAATTTTACTACAACGTCCCGAATAATTCATCTCAACGTAATGCTCCATATTTACATAAATATTTAATTGGGAAGTTGAAGGAGAAAAAGAGAGTTGCTCTGTGATCATGTATGGAAACAATCAGATATCTTCGTAACTATACTCTAGAACTATGATGAGTAGGTTTTCAATGAAAATTGTATTTATTAGAATGAGCCTCTAAAAGGGCTCAGCAGGAGGGCAACGATAATTCTTATTCAGGAACACTCAGCGCAGGCAGCCGCCCAAACATGCAGCCGTGAATAGGATTTCTTTGTTCTTAAAAATTCGTTACCTCAACGCAATAATGGATGCCGTTGTTTCGGTTGTAACTTAGCTTTTTTCTTAACAAATTTGTGATTATTTCAGCCCTCTTCAATTTATTCATTAGAGGAAACGGGCTAACGAATCAAAATATATCATTCCAAGTGAATTTTGTGTACGATATATAAAATCTGAGTAAAATATTTGGATAGATTGAAAAAAATGTACGCTAGCTTAGTAATTTTATACCAATTATTTTTTTAGATTATTAGAGCATTTCACAACAAGAGATCGGTTCTTCGTTTCCATAAACATTCGTAACGAACAATGAACGTAAGCCACTTTCTTGGAGCAACAAGGAGTTCGGTATAAAACTGTTCCAATATTGACTCATGCGTCTCTATAACATAATTATTCAAGCAATTCTCCAAATTTCTCAAATAGCGTACGCGCCTACGTGATGTCCCTTGGTATTCTTAGCGGCATTAGAGATCGTGCCCGTTCGGGTGAACATTAGGCTAAAGTTAAACACCTGACCGTGTGTTTTATATTGCTTAGGTAAAATCAATGACTTTAGCTTTTTTTTTTTTTTTCTGAAAAACGGGGCACCACCGAACCTGCGTCGGGTTTTATGTCATGAGCGAAATCAGACGCTGCCAATATCGCTGAGGGATCTTGGGAACCAGCTTGAGAATGGGTCGATGTTGGTCCCAAGCGTGACCAACAGCTATATGCACTACAGGAGAGTCTTGAAGATAGCCCTCGTTTTGGCACAGGATGAAGCTAATTTTTGGTCATCTGTTAATCCAAGATTCCACCGATCACCTAACCTAACAGGTAGGATTAACAGCCTACTACTATGAGTTCTATTCTGGTATCGAGTCCTTCACCATTGAACCACAATAAGAATGGCAAATCGGAAAGAGAGTATAGCACGTTTACAAGCCAGTAGAATTGGTTAAAAAATTTGCTTCATTATTGTCACGAGGTAGGCTTATTAAGTCTCATCTAAAGGGGGCCCAAGAGTTGCACGGTAAATTGTCAAATACAAAAACACGTTATTCTCCAACATTTTTAATCGGTTAGTTCTTGATCACCCGGTAGCCATACGAAACCGGAGCGCCAGGTAGATTCACTTTACTGACTGCACAAAATTTCAAAAAACTTTTGGAAAAAAATATTTTTGTACAGACTACTGTAACACATTTATCGGGAACGCGTCTGTACAGATGTACATAAGGCGCACTCATATATATACTATTTGAATAAATTTAATTATTTAAAAAAAAACGCTACTTTTGCTTATTTCACGTTGTTTACCTCAGCGATTTTAGTATCGTACTAAGTGTAGGTCTAACTCTGGGTAGCTATCATCGTGATTAGAAAATACCAATTGCGTGTACGAGACGACGAGAGGGTAAGCTTTTTGCATAAAGACAAATAGTTCCCGCTCCTATAACCTTAAAAGAACGTGATTTTTAATAATTTTCGATCATTAAGTGACGCCAACTAAGCGTATACGTGCAGCAACGAGTTGAAGAAAAGCTCTTATGAATACGGCGATACACAGAGCAAGCACGTTAACCACAGTTTTAATAAATAGTCATTATAATATTGTTAAGTGAACAAACTTTTTAGTCGGAATCAGGAACCAAACGTGGGTTTATAACAGCATAATCTTTTGTTATATTACAGAAGCATATATTGGTTGTTAAAAACGTGTACTTTTCGGTGTAAAGATGAGAGAACCCGTATAAGCGTTAGCAAGCAGGAAAAAAAATAGGACAAAATAAGTCGAAAGAACTATGTGACTCCAAAAAAAGGAATATTGCGTTTTTAACCGGGCACCTGATAATTAGTAAATGGCCTGATAAAGCCTTATCAAAAGCTGGAAAAGTTATCAGGTGCCTTGAAATGGTATCATACGCCATAAAAGGTCGAAGCGCATATTTTCTCTGTTTTCGTAATGATCCACGCTTGCGTATTCTATGCTTGTACATATCGCGTGCTTAGAATTGTTAGGCCTTTATATATTGCAACGCTGATGATGAGCAATAGTTATACATAAGGAATAATTACTCTCAGCCTGAAGCAAATGTATCCTGACTATAGAGCATTATCCTTTGTCCTAGCAATATCTCTTCAGTATATTGGAGGTCTTATTTCAGGCTTGCTTTGATTTAAGATACTTCAAAAATAACTATCCTTTGCACTGGCTGCATGTTTTCTCTGCAAACAATGAGGTAACACTCAACGAAAGGGTGCTGGGAAAATTACGGAGGTCAGTGGCCGTGAGGCAACATTCCTGTCATTTCATTCGGAACTAAAGAATAATACTAGTTCAAGCTGAAATAAATGGTTATATAAGTCAAAAAGCTAAGTTCAGAATTAAAATGGATTAACTTTTGCATAGCATTTATCGTTATAATACATAGTCGGACCGAGAATAGTTTCGAAATTTAGCTGAGTGCTACGTCCTATCCTGAATTGATCTGATACTAATGATGTATCGTAATGCTGAAAGAGAACTGGAATGCCAGCAACAGCAAGCTATATGTAAGTGATAAGAAGAGATTAAAAAAAAAATTTTTAATATAAAATATCTATCGCACCTTACTTACGATTCTACTCGTAGTGATGTTTTCCGTCAGATTCTCAGAATTACTAAAAGATGCTTTTAATAATTATAAGCAGAACTAGACATTTCCAAGTGCAAGTATAGATTAAAGGTAGATGAAGGTTGGTAAAGGAGACAGAGGAATCCAAGACGAAGTTAGAAAAATTTATCAAACAGGTTGACCTTTATGTCTCTGAATAAGGCTATTATTATGTTCTAATGTTACAGACAAATGCGTCTGATATCATGTCTATAGATTGGCAGAGCGGTAGCCTAAAGTGGTAAGATCCTGGTCAAACGAATCAGATTTTGCGAACTTAAATCCCTATTACGGTTGGCAAGCGTTTACTGAACATAAGTGGCTAGATAAAGGAAGCTTTCAAATGATAAGAAGAGTACAATCGTCGCTAATGTACAGACGTGACCTCGCGTCTTAATAGACAAATCCTATTATAATTGCTTTTAAGCACTCAAGGCGTAAGGTTCAGAAAGATCATGGGGAACAAGATATAGCACTGAACTAGCTTACCCATTATATCCATGCCGTTCAGACCACAAAGAAGTAGACATGCTACAAAAATCTCAAAGCATAGCGCACTACCGTCAATTATTTACAAAATTACTTTTATAAGGGCAAAAAAAAACAGACGGTTACATCACTCAGCCGTCTGTGTTTTAGCTGTTGTCTTTTTTTTTAGAGAAGATAGCAGGCAATCTAGTTCCAGTCGTACTTACCTCTTCTATGAGCGTTTTTGTGTGGACTGAATGATCATATTCCCATTCATGGCAATTTTCACTTTCGACCTGTGATATGTTGCTGTGTAGGGCGTTGCTCTGCGGCACCGCTACACGAACCGAACACCTGAGATCTACCCCAGCATTCATTTGCATCCATTCACTATAGTTAATTCCTTTAGGGGATTTACACCAATAATTTACCTTTGGCGCCATAAAGCTCAAACTCAGCACGAACAAACCATATGGGAGCGAGCCTAATAAAGCTAATAAAAAAACGGGAATGTGCCATGGGCCCAGTTTTTCTAAAACGCGCTCCATCTCTTCGGTAGGTTTCACGTGTTCAAGGAAAGAGGTACTTCTTCGTAAACTTAATAATTCGGTGGCGCGGTAAATTACGCGCGTCGTAGTGATCAGATGCACACGGATCGAACAGATCCCTAGGTCAAGCCATCGGGTCACATAGTTGAAATCATGTCAAGATATCGTTGCCTTAAAGTAAAATAGGGATGAGCTACATAAAGATCGGCTTACTGTACAAAGCTTTCTTTGAACGGTTTTGTTTTCGCTTTCCTTTTTATGACTTCAGCGTGCCAATTACCAGACTTGATTCTGGACATTTGCAATCAGCTCGTTTTTATAGTAACTAGCGCAGCTGCCTTCATGGAAGTGGTCCGAGAAGAGGGGCTCCTAACAGTGCTGGCCCACCACTATTTATCCAGTACCTGGTAGAGTGAGGCTGTAAATACAACCGTGTTTCGCTATTTTTTCTTTTGTTTTAAGAGATAGCTTCATAGCATTTTAACGATTAAGTGTAGAGCCAAAAGGACACATCGTAAAGTAATTCATGGTGAATAGATCGAGCTGCCGTCACAGTAGGCCATCCTTGCAACATCCTAGATTGATAAGAAAAGCAAGCCATGAGTGATTGAATGTACTGCTATTGTCGATATGTACGAGGCATTGCCTAGACGACGAGGTGCTAGAGCTATGTTTCGGATAGCGAGATACAATCGTAAGCACGAGCTATTCAAAAAACATCACATTACGCACACATATAGTTCTGCTCATTTAAGCAGTGAAGTAAAAATTTAAATATCCAATAGAAGTAGACATTTTAGTCCATGCGAGTAAGGTTTGTCTCTCTGTAATCATGTTTCTAGCATCCCCAACGATGTACTACGCTAGCCAATCTCTAATTAATACAAACCTGTGCCTCTATTTTACAACTTTATGTGATTAATTACAGTTTTGCTACGGCACAGCATCTATCGAACAAAAACTATTGAATCAGTAGATATAAATTAGCGTCACGTAGGTGTTGTATGTGCGTTTTCATTCCGACGGTGTATGGGTGTACGTGCATGAATACGTGCGTGGGCGAGGTCGAGGTGGAAATCGTCTTTCTTAAGCTGGCCACTTCCGATCAAGCGACCAATCCGAACTTCTACCAAAGCAGGTATCATTACAGCGTTTGATATGACCATAGGGTCATTTCTGAAGAATAACCAGTTTTATTTTTGTATGTCCATTACGAACTGCCGACCACAATGTAGCCATAGTACAGTTCGAAGCCATATGGACGTACTCTATTCGGACCCAGTCCGACTCTACTCAGCAAGTAAATAGTATTCTTTTTTTGGGCTTGCTTTACCGTATTGGACTACTCTGGAAGCGTTAGATATCCTGAAAAATGCCAGTAACTATACTAATTGCCTTTAAAATCCTATAGTCATATATGTCTGTAAAATACGCGACATTTAATAGCATAGATAGTCTGTTAACGGTGAGTGCCGTTGACAAATTGCAGCTCGTTTTTACAGCTCTAGTTTGATTTAATACCTATGCCTCCCTTTTATAAATTAGCTGTCCTTCTTATTCGAATATGTATCTATAATTGATTTTAATAGTTCTGTTTATTTTTAATTGCATTAGTCATATATTATAAGTATGCCTCTACCAGCAGTCGGGCCTGACTGTGTAATTGATAAAATCTTAAGTAGCTTTGATCACGTGTCAACAGTAACACGAATACTCGTCGTTGGTATGATCAAATTAGGCCTGTAACATTATGAAGGATAATACAGTGTAATTAAGGCTAGCCGATGTCAGCGCCTTAGCGAAAATGAAAATATTCGACGCCCTAGCTGAAAGGATCCGATAACAGGGGGACGAAGTTTATCTTCGAAAAGAAAAAAAATGTAAATGCATTTTTGGTTTTGACATTTGTTCTAAGCAGTCCACTGAATGTTTGCATGAATGTAGCCGGGACATGTACCCTGTCGCGGCCATTTTTGCCGCGCCACTGTAGAATTAACGGGCGTTTTCTGACTTGACTTATTCCACCCTGTCTCATCTCTGCCTAGGCACACGTATAATCTTGGATGAAAGGGAACCATGGATAAAGTCTTGCTCGACTTATTATGTCCATAGGTGTGTTTAGGCTTCTGAACTCTTATTCAAGTTAACAGAATTATATCACAGTTGTTGTTTATCGACAATGTGTTACTGTTTATCCGTACTTATAGATATGCTTCAAGTCAGTAAAGTACCTGGAATATGTGCTGCGTACCGGTTATTCGGGTTACGTGTGCGTCAAAACAGGGCTCAGTCAACGAAAGTAATAATAATTAGTCCGTTCATTTCAGTAATAGTTCTTAAAAGAAAGATTTAACTTATGAGAGAATATTGAGTAGAAAATCAATTTTCTTTACCATAATTTGTTTAGTTGAATTTCGCAACTGATTCAACACAGAGGAGGGAAAGCTTCCAACACATTTTGTGTGTAAGTTGCATGCAAGCCTCACTCTGACACATCTGTTTTATTACATTATTATCCTTTCTAATCTTTTTTAGTTTAACATTATCTAATATTGTGGTGCGAAACAGACTGAGAGCAGGACGAGCTGCTTTTTTTTCACAGGTACGACTATCAGTGTTCTACGAGGAATCTACTAAGAGCCTTCCGGCTCATTAGGACACAGTGTAGTCCATTCGGATTGCAGCTAACTAATCTGTCTTCAAGAAAAAGCGACTCCAGCGACCTGAGTAATGGCGGAAGTTGCTAAGTTTGTGCTGAGAGCAGCGTTCCTGTAACGTGAGAGAGCTAGAGGGCTTTTAGCCCACTAAGCAGACGTTTTTTTAACTGAACCCCTCCAACGCGAGCAGAATTGAAAATTCATTAGCGATTTCGCGAGAAATTTCACTATAAACACAGGCGATAAATTACTAAATTCATTAGAATCATTGGACGCATCGTGGAAGGTTCCTGTTCTTATTATTACATAATTAGCAACTGATATGGGAAGATTCCCTTTTCGCCTCCTGTGTTTCCTAGAACACCATTGATGTATCATTTAACGGCCAGCTGCAACTACTTGTTTAGCGCCCTTTGTTTACCGCGAGTTACCCTATTTTTCCTAATCCTACTCTTAGAATTAGGCTGTGCCTGACGTTGCTGAACGAAGCTTTTAGCAAGGATTCAGCCAAAAAAGTATGAAAAATATTTGTAGTGTCGCTAATTATCAATAGCCGGAATTTCGTAATTATTAACAGTGCATAAGGGTGGCAGATATACTGATGTCGCGTTTAATCCTGCATAGCCGCCCGATAAGTTAGCTGACTTTTTTCGAAAATGTAATTATAAACAGCGAGCATATATTGTGGAGCAACAATCGTTAGTTAAATAGAGATTTGGTCTTTGCCAGTCAGACATCTTGCTAAGGTTTCCAGATAGGTTGAGCCACTTTCTTGAATGATTTCATACATCTTTACGCCGCGTCCATCTATTGTTCCGCCTGTTTGCCTTATAATCTACCCTAGAATATTAGTTTTTTTTATTTCGTACTTAAGTGTTTAATTTTTTACTAGGGCTTATTTGACTCATTGCAGTGAACCTAGAAACATGAATACGAGAAAACCAGAGGCCTTTGTTGTACGCACGGCTTCGGTATTACGACGATCTCACGGGTGACCACTGTATGAAAAACAGATTCTAGCCAAGTATTCCACTCGCCTGTCCAAAAATAGTATCTTTTAGAGTCCGCGCACAACAGTTTCAGGTTATTCAAAATGACAACTGAAACTTTTATACGTTGTATTTATTTGCGACAACAGACAAAACAATCGCTCGAACTTTCACGGCATCATTCTTTTTTATGGGTTCTGGTAGCTCACCGAATGAGGAATAATCGTTTTGTAAAGATATACACTTCTGAAGTGTTCGAAGTCTAACTTAGCTGTTGCATGTATCGAGTCAAACACTAGCTCGCTCAGATGCTTAAAAACTGTTTTTGCGTGTTTCTCTAATTAGCCATAAAACAAAAAACCTTTGCATCTATACAAAACTATAGATCACATTTCACTACCCATACTCCACTAACGCGGAAACACTTATAGTAATCAATAAATGTTTCTTTATAGGTTATTAGAAAAAGTGTACTTTTTTAAAATCAGGGAAACGTTCGTACACAAAAGTTGCCGTTTTTTGTTTAGAAAAGCCCATCTATATAAGTTGTTTTTTTTTATACTATATTCTATTTGCTTCAATCATTTGTGGAAAATGAATGTGGGTTGAATTTTATACACAGACTTTCAGTATAATACGCAGTAGACGTTGCTTTTCTCTAAGCGCTTTACGTAATCAGCCGCCGTCACAGCATCTATGAGAAAACTTCCGTAAGCTCTTTCTTCTTTGCTTATTTATATATATTATATTCAGGAATAAGCTATGCGATGACAGTTGACAGTTCTGATACCACGGTTAAATGCTCGGCTTCTATGTTCTTATTTCTTGTTCCAGTATATTTCGAATAATTTACTACTAATTTAGACGTTTATCCCGTTCAAAACCCAAGTCAACAACTGCTAGGTCAACAACTAACTGAATAGAAAAAAAATACCCACACTTACGGAAACAATAATTTGCTTTTTATAAGTGAAGTTCAATAGGACCGAAGGTCTCTTGAACTTCGACATAAGTCTTCGACAGGTAAAAAGTGAACTTCAGAGCTCGTGGAACATAAGCCGCATTTGGCATTCTCTAAAATTAAATAAAGAATCGCTCTTATAATTAGCGAGCTAGGGGGTTTCAAAAAAATCTATTTATTTATACCTTCTGTGCAAAAGTGTGATCCGTTTGTGCAATGTGACCGACTTCCCTGCTAAATTATATGCCTTATTTTTTTTAATTTAAGTTTTATTCTATCTGACTCAGTAGCTTTTGCTCATATAACGTACTCGTGATATAATCCATTAATCTTAGATATTTTACGATCTAGGATATGCTTGTGTATTTACGCCGTGCTATCGAAGGTCAAGTTTAAACTACTTCTAGGATTTGATGAATTTGTTCTTACTTAGTAAGCTTGCAACAATGTTCCCTTAGGTGTACCTGGGTAGAAGAGGCCAGGTTTTAATTTATCACTCCTCGACCAAACACTCTGAGACGTAGTAGCACTAGTAGTATCGCAAATGCTATCTATACCGACCATTATCAACATCTAGCATCTAACTGCATTTACAGAATACAATTTACGTTGAAAAACTTGAAAACAGGCAAGTTTGACCAACCTCTAGATGATTATTGGGTACATTTAAGTTTATGCGAGGTTAGCATAGGCTGGAAAAACGTGAATCCTTCTAAAAACCTCTGTTCAGAATGAG